AGGAGTATAAATTTATGGTGGATTGGAATGTTAGCAGTTATGATTAAGACAATGTGCTGTTACACTGTTTTTAAGCTACACCGTTCTAAGTGGTATTCCGTGGAAGCAAAATGCTGTGTCAAAAGTGATAATAAATAAATATATCCTGAGGCTAAGGGTGGAACTGTTGCTTTGTGTTAACTTTTTCTTCTTATTTTTATTTTTATATATATTGTTAGTTTTTAATTATTTATACACAAAAAATAAATCCAACAGAAAATTCAATAAATTAAGCTTGCTATCAATACCATATTTTAACTCATAATTCTGTGAAACAACCAGATTATAAATAGTTAATCACTGCTTTCAAACATATCATGAAACCAGATTATCCATCTCATTCACCATTTGTCTCCAAATATCAATATTAATTATTTAAAGGCTTTCTTTTTAAGTAAGCCATCAGTCTGATCATGCAGAATGTTTCGTTTAACTTATCTAGCCCATCTTTTTCATTTAGAAGAGAATTTTTCTTCCACTGTCCAGCAAAGACAATACAAGCACTTGTTATAGCATATAGGACTAGTTCTTGAAAAGAAGATGGGATACAGAAAACAAAGTTTAACAATAAGAATTCTGGTGTTCAAGCGGTTGTATAGCCTGTACCAATTGAAATGTTTGCTACTATTACTTTCCAATATTTTACAGTTCACAAGCACTCCCAACACATATGAAAAATATAGCATTATCTTTGCCACAAAACCAGCAATTCTTTGTGGTATTATAAATTTTGGAAAGTCTGTTTGGGGGTCAGGTACCACTGCTTTGCCATTTTAATTACATTCTCTCTCAAAGAGATTCGTTGAAAAGGTTGACCTCTTAGAAACAAATGATTCCATAGACTGGATGTATTTGATGTCCTAAATCAGACTGCCACTTTTTTTGATAGCCTTTTTCCTTCTTACAAGCGGTATCTATCTGCATATGATAGATGCTGGAAATAAGCTTTGTTTTCCCTCATACAGCTAACATCAAATTTCGTTAACCCTCTTTAAAAAACACTAAAAAAATCCTCTTAGCTGTGCCATAAGAAACCTTTACATTTGGAAATATGGAAATATTTGTGCCTCCTTTGTCCAGCACATCAAAGGGTACAACTCTGTTATTCACTGTTAGTATGTGGTATCTGGCACACACCAAGAGTGTTCCCAGTGTTTAAAGTCATTAGGGTCATAGTTATTTTTGATAACTAAAGATAACTGAGAGATAGAAGGTGCTATTTTCTGGCCAAATTGTGACCAGGTATGCAGCAGTGAATCAATAATGAAATTACAGCGACTAAAATTTCTGCCTCTCATTTTTTGAGTCAAATTCAGATGTCTAATAGAACTTTAAAGAGTATTTGCTCAAAATGGATTCATTTTAACAAAATGCAGTTATAGCATGTGGAATGGGGAGGTGCTGTTTCACCACTTTGCCTTGTCCTGTTTTCTCACTGAAATTCACTTTCCCCAAGCTGCTGTTATCCCTACTCTGGGTAATATTTAATGTAAAATTTCATCTGCAGTGGTAACAGCAGTTTCAGGTTGCTTATTTTTGGGAAACCATACAGGCAAAGGGTTTATTGGTTTCTGTCTTCTTGCTCCCCCTGTACCACTTCCCAGTGTTTGGTCTCCTTTTTTAAATGGCAGACCCTGTGTCTATTTCTGTTAAAACTGTAAGGGGAAATAATTACATGTACTTCTTCCCTCAGACTATGTAGCAGAGATGTCTGATCATATCTTAGACTGAAGGATAGGGTTGCCAGGTCTAGGTTGGAAAATACCTGGAGACTTTGGGGGTAGATCCGGGAGAGGGAGGGGTTTGAGGAGGGGAGAGGCCTCAGCATGGTATAATGCCATAGAGCTCACCCTTCAAAGCAGCCATTTTCTCCAGGGGAACTGATCTCTGTCAGCTGGCGATCAGCTGGAAAAGCGGAAGATCTCTAGGCCCCACCTGAAGGCTGGCAGCCTTCAGTTTGGTGTAGTGATTAAGTGTGCGGACTCTAATCTGGGAGAACTGGGTTTGATTCCCCACTCCTCCACTTGTACCTGCTGGATGACCTTGGGCAAGCCATAGTTCTGGCACAGCTGTTCTTGAAAAAGAGCAGTTTCTGTCAAGAGCTCTCTCAGCCCCACCTACCTCACAGGGTGTCTGTTGTGGGGAGGGGAAGGGAAAGGAGTTTGTAAGCCGCTCTGAGACTCCTTTGGGTAGTGAAGGACGGGGTATAAATCCAATCTCTTCTCTTCTTCTGAAGGATCCTGGAAGGGGTGCTTGAAGCCACCAAACAATATGACAAGCCAGCATTCAAATAAACAGTATTACCAGTAACTAGATTAATAGACGCTGTTGGATGCTACTTAAGATTCCCCCATATATAGCATGAAAAAGGAGGGAAAACTCTTGAATCAAAAAAATTAATTGTGACTGATCATTATTAAAAACAAAGATAACACAAAAGTGGCTGTTCTGGATCCATATAGTCCAGTATCCCACTTCACAGTGGCCAATCAGATGCCTTGAGAATGCCCACAAGCAGGGCATAAATGCCAGAACTTCTGACTGTTGTTGGCCCCCTTCCCCCCCTGGCCTGAGCACTGATTTTCAGAGGTTTCCTTCCATGGCTGGTCCAAGGTATTTTGTCACTTCAAGGTTGCCTCCTTGAATGCCATCAGTGGCTGGGGCTGAGCTAAGCATCAGTTGTGGATCTGATCCAAAAGGCAATGCACATTGCTTCCTGTACAACCAATGGCCAAGAGCCAAGCTAACTTAATTAGTGATCATTACTACGTCTGCATCAGTGAGTTCCATAAAATAATTCTTTGAGTCAAGAAATACTTCCTGTTGCTTGTCCTGGTCCTTTAAAATCTTTGGGAATTTTTCTGATGATAAATGACAGCAGAGTTGCACTGCCTTAGAAATATACAGAAAAACCTATGCAGAATTTGCTGAATATATAAGCCAAAGCTCGTCCACTGTGCCAATTTGGGCAGATTCTCCAGGGAAGAGATCTCTTTACAAGGACCTTCTGTTTGAGATCTCTTTACAAGAGACCATTCTCACTGGAATCTCATAGATAAACATGGAAAAACTCTTTCTCCTAAAAGTACAAGCTGATCCTCTCTCATCTTCACATCCACTGCTAAAATTCTCCAGTTCCTGAGAATATGATATTTATTCATTTCTGAAATCTAATGTGCAGTCAGTGTATATAAGCATCCATTGAAGATCTAATTGAAGAGGGATCCTAATTAGTACAGGTATAACTGATTTCCTCCTTAAATCAGGTGTCAAACTATGTTTATATTGTTCATTTCAAAAGCTAAATTTTATTTATAATCTGCATGAAGGAAATTCAAGTTCTCCACAACCAGCAAATATATGGCTTTAAAGTACTTGAATATTTTTGGCATGAATTGAGATGGAATCTAGGATGGAGAAATGGAAGGGTATTGATATTGAGCAGTAGAAATATGGTGACTGGGACAAATAGCATAGACAGGAAGTTGTGAATAAGCTGTTGTCTACATTTGGTATGTTTCCATTGCAATAATGACTGTTCTGTTTCTTAAGTGTTGTGCAGCATTTTCTGTGAACCTGTACATGCTGGCTTTCTCAGATAACTGAACTGTAGTTTATATTTTAGAGACATGTTGCTTATTCATTATATTTTTATCCCATCTTTCTTCGAAGGAGCTCAGAGTAGTGTAATGTCATACACGCAATCCTCTCCCCACTTTATCCTCACAGCAACCCTGTGAGATTCATTAGGCTGAGAGAATGTGACTGGCCTAAGGGCTCCTAGTGAGCTTCATGGCACAGCAGGGATGTGAACCTCTGTTTTATGGTCCTAGTCAAACACTCTTTGAAGTGATGGCCCGCCATTTCTTTTTCTCGGTATGAAACTGCTCATTGAAGCTTTTCTTAAACAGCATTCTTCTTTCAAGGGTTATGATGTAGAATCAAGGGCCATAAATCATATTTTCCTTAGGTTCTGTTCAGACGTTACAATAAACCATAGTGTTTAAACAGTGGTTTGATCAAACCATAGTTAGTCATGACATCTGAATGGTTGGTTGTCATGGAACTGGGATTTCAGTTTGTAGCTGATTAGAATGTGTCTACTAACTGTAGTTTGTTGTGATGTCTCAAATTTTGTTAAGAAGTGCCCCACCCCTCATCTGGTCACAGAGACAGCTGTATGGGGAGAATGGCCGTTTGCCTCTTCTCTGCCTCCTGGCGGCGGGGGGACGGACAAATTAGGGTTTATACACAAGCCAGGATTGTTATGTACCTATAGAATAACTAGAACTGATTGCAAAAAATCTGGTTTAAACAAACCACAGTTTATAATGATGCATGAATGGAACACAATGTTATTGTACCTGTAGTACCTGTAGAGAGCCAGTTTGGTGTACTGGTTAAGTGTGCAGACTCTAATCTGGGAGAACTGGGTTTGATTCCCCACTCCTTCACTTGTAGCTGCTGAATGACCTTGGGCAAGCCATAGTTCTGTCAGAGCTGTTCTCTCATGGACAGTTCTCTCAGAGCTCTCTCAGCCCCACCTACCTCACAGGGTGTTTGTTGTGGGGAGGGGAAGGGAAAGGAGTTTGTAAGCTGCTCTGAGACTCCAAGAGGTGGGGTATAAATCCAATCTCCTCCTCCTCTTCCTTCTTTTCCTTGCTTTTATCTTCTCAGTCATTACCTTTGAACACTGAAATCTTAATCCCTGAGCTCATGGATGTATGAATGATCACAAACTTCCATAAAACATTGGTGCTGTGGTTTTCTCATAAAACTTTACCATTGTGGTCTTCCTAAAAGTCTCTGAATTGCTGCATGCAAGCATACGAAATTAAATCCCCAATCTATGCTTGGTGATGCTTGATTTCTTTTTAATATGCTGGAATGTAATTTTTGGTATGACTCAGTTTTGTTATCTTTATTTAACATTTCTTTCACTTCCCATTTAGAGAGGAGATATGGAGGACGTGGTGATTGCAGGCATAGCAGGGAAGCTGCCAGAATCAGAAAACTTGCAGGAGTTTTGGGAGAACTTGATCAATGGAGTGGACATGGTCACTGAAGATGATCGGAGGTGGAAACCTGGTACGCTCAGTGATTCTAAATTGTTTCAGTCATTTAAAAAAACCTGGAAGAGACTGTTGGAATCATCGAATCAAACAATTTGCCAGAAAAGAATGTTGTTCTTGTCAAAGAACTATGCTATCCCATCTTTTATGATGGATATTTTAATATATACAGTTGGGGTAGTGTCATGAAGTCTGTCTCCATGCAATTTCTCTACTTCAGGGACCCACAGCCACCAAAATGAATCTAGTCAAATACTTGCATATTTTTAGCGGTCTTCAGTGATCGTCTGTAGATAGTGTTACCCTAACCTAAATCTTTAGTTGCAGTCAATGCTCCCTCTAAGCTGCGGAGTCTTGCAAGCAAAAATCCTACTTTGTGAGCTGCTGGCCTTAAAGTGGTGAGCGAGCGATTCGGCTGCTGCATAAATCAGTTTGCTTTGGATCTGTCCTTCCTGGGCTACGACAAAAATGTGTGAGCAGAGGCTAAAAAACTGTGAGCTAGCTCGCACTGACTTAGCTTAGAGGGAACACTGGTTGTAGATTCTTGTTTTGGCCAGGGTCAATAAGAACAATTGATAACCATCTTTATCAAGTACCCACTAGGGTTGCCTGCTTCCAGGTGGGGCCAGGAAATCTCCTGGATTTACAATTGATCTCCAGACTACAGAGATCAGTTATTCTCAAGAAAATGGCTACTTTGCAGGGTGGATTCTACGGTATTATACTGTGCTAAAGTCCCTCTTTTCCCCAAACCCCACCTTCTCCAGGCTGCACCCCCGAATCTCCAGGAATTTCTCAACCAAGCAACCAGTTTTTCCAGGGGAATTGATGTCAGCAGATCAGTTGTATTTCCAGGAGATTTCTAGGTCCCTCCTGGAGGTTGACAAACCTATCTGTATCCCTCAAATGGTAGAATAAAATCCCATTTTTATGGCCAAACTAATCTCACCAATGATTGGTAAAGTGTTTGGATCCCTAAATGTTATGCCATTTCTGATGTACGTTATTAGAAATTTCTTAAAGAGAATAAGATATAGTATACTGCCTTTGTTGGAAAACGAGGGATGTTGTAGCTTTGGCCTTTTGGTGCTCCAGAAATGGTTACTTTGCTTTTGTAACTTGGTGTAGACAACTCTGTCAAACTGTGCTTAGTGGGGGAAGGGGGGGGGTAGGGTGGCCAGATCCAGACTGGGAAACTCCTGGAGATACAGGGGTGGAGCCCGGGGAGGACAGGATCCTCGGGCTGGGATACAGTGCCATAGAGCCTGCCCTCTAAAACATCAATTTTCTCCAAAGGAACTGATCTCTGTAGTCTGGAGATGAGCTATAATTCCAGGGGATCCCCAGGTCCCACCTGGAGGCTGGCATCCCTAGTTTCTTATCCATCATTGTTTTCTCACAGTTACCTGGACAGCCCAGATGTACTATTAGTACTGACACAAAGAATACCTATAACCACCATGAAGTTCTTAATTATATAATACGTTGAAGATGTGAGAGGGTTGTTTTTTTGAATTTCAGGAATCTATGGATTACCGAGGAGAAATGGGAAGCTCAAGGACATCAGCAAATTTGATGCCTCTTTTTTTGGAGTTCATCCAAAGCAAGCTCACACAATGGACCCTCAACTCCGGATGCTATTGGAAGTCTCTTATGAAGCCATTTTGGATGGTGGTAAGCAAACGGACCAGAATTTTGCCTTTAACTCTCTGTTTACTGTATTCAGCAACAGTTAAACAGTTTACATATATGCGGTTTTGATATTGCAAGGTCTAACATTCTGGACTATTTTGTAAGGATTAGGAAGGAAATACAAGATGTGTGTAAGGAACATGGGAAAGACCTAGGGTTGCCAGCCCCCAGATCTGGGCGGGAGTTCCCCTGCTTATGGGGGCTTTAATCTGCCCCTGGCCAGTTGGCTGGCGGCAGAAGCCCCACCCCCAAGAGCGAACACCCACCCGGCCATCCCTCTCCCTCCCCTCCTGCCCGATTTAAAGGGCTTCAGCTGATCGGCAGAGACCACGGGGCCTGCTGACCAGCTGGAGGGCCCTTTAAATCTAGCAGGAGGGAGAGAGAGGGGCAGTCGTGGGCAGCATACTCAGCTTACAAAAACACTCTCCCCACTCTCTCCAGAGTACTTTTGCAGCATAAAAATGAAAAATTGTTTTAAAAAATCAGACACTGTATGTTTGCTTAAAAGTATAGGTACACAAACAGCAGTTTACGTTTTACCGAGAGCCAGTTTGGTGTAGTGGTTAAAAGCAGCAGACTCTAATCTGGAGAACTGGGTTTGATTCCCCACTCCTCCGCATGCAGCCAGCTGGAAGATCTTGGGTCAGTCACAGTTCTCTCAGAGTTCTCTCAGCCCCACCTACCTCACAGGTGTCTGTTGCGGGGAGAGGAAGGGAAGGAGATTGTAAACTGCTGTGAGACTCCAAGTGAAGGGCCGGGTATAAATCCAATCTCTTCTTCTTTAGAAAGGATTGTCAGCACTATTGAAAGTATAAGCACGAGGCCAAAATCAATGACAAATTCAGTATTCCATGCAGAGGAGGATACATGTGTCATCTGAAAAGTCAAGATGGAACAAATTTGGACTCACCCCACAGGAGCAAAAAAAGTGCTGGTGCATTTTATCTGCACCTTTGCTTGCAAGTGCCGGGGCTCCCTAAGCAGAAACATGTTCTTTTATCTTAAAAACTAGCCTTAATTAGTTCACCGTTTCTTTCCAGCATGTGGACAGGAGCCACTCAGTTTGTTTAGAAGAAAGGGACATACCATCCACCAGCAGGGGTTTGCTCTCTGACTAAATTGTCCTTTCAATACGTTTGTGATGGCACTTAAGTAATGCACGTCGATAATATATTTACATTGCAAGGACAGTATGGCATAACATTGTGGGGTTTTGCACTGTCAGGTATAAACAATAGATTACAGGGCTGGGTTCATCTCAGGTTCTCGAACATTCTTTGCTGCCCTTCCTGGGGTCATAAAAGAAGGTCCACCACTGCGTCACTACCTTCATGTACCCAATACCGTGTATTCCCATTCATAGATCTAGCAGATTACACCTAGGGAGCACTACAGGACTGGAAGTGAACATACTCCCCAAAAGGTTTGAATTAAGGTTTCGTGTGTGTGTGTGTGTGTGTGTGTCTTTGGTGGCAGAGGAACATCAGGAAAGTGCCAGGCAGAGTTCAGAAGCTGCAGCTCTTTCTCAGCAGAGGCAACAGCTCCTGCATACCACTGCTGGTGATTAGAGCAAATGACCTCAGTAATAAGTGAGACCAGAGCAGGGGTGCTTGGGACTGCCTTGCCGGAACATCAGGAAAGTGCCAGGCGGAGTCCAAAAGCTTTAGCTCTGCCCCAACAGAGGCAGCAGCTCTTGCTAATCACAGCTGGCTGGTGAATGGGGTGTGTGTGTGCTGTTGACTACAAGGGTGTGTAGTTCCATTGCTTGGCTTGAACTATTGTGGCTGCGGTTGATTGTGAGTGTGTGTTTTGGTGCACTATAAATCTGCTGCATAGCTGGTTAGATCCTCCTACAGGAGAGGGAAATCAGAGTAAGCTGTGAGATGTTCCTTAGGTGTCCAGGGAATCCCTGTAAGATGGGGAGGTGGGAGGTATGGTGGTGGGCAGAGAGTTAGGTTTAGAAGGAGATTGAGATATGGATATGCCAAGTCCCCTTCTAATTTCCTTCCCATCCCAAGGAATGATGATGTGCAGACCCAGGTTTCTTTGCTCTCCTCTTCAAGTTTGATGTTGTATAATGTCAGATCGATTATGAATAAGACTGCCTCCCTTGAGGAACTTATTAGGAAAGGCAATTTTGTTCTGGTATGCTTGACTTGAGACCTGGGTGGACAAGGATGAAGTGGTGGTTCTCCCTCAGATGACTCCCCCAGGATATGCAGTCCTTCATCAACTGCTAACAGGAAGATGGGGGGGTGGGGTGGCAGTTCTCATCCGAGATTCGTTCTCCTTTGGATGGCTTCCTGCACCAAACATCACCCACACTGATGGTGTAGGCCTGGCATGGGGTGCCAGGGAGAGGGTGGGAATCTTGCTGGTTTACAGTCTGCCTAGCTTACCAGCTGACTTGACTCCCTGCTGAGGCTGGCTGAGGTGGTGGCAGAGTGGGCGTTGCGTTTGGGGGGGCTTCAGTGTCCATGATGCTGCCTTATCAGGTGCCTCCTTAGACCATGGCATGGCATCATTACGACTATCCCAGGTTATATTGGCTCCCACACACAGAGCAGGCTGCACGCTGGATTTGATCTTTTGTGCAGGAATATATCTGGATTCAGCGGTTCTTTGCGAACTGGTGCCATGGACTGAGCAATACCTTGTGAAAGTTGGTTTGAGATTTGCCTCCTCCCTCTACAGGGGCAGTGAACTTATTTATGCTTGCCCGTGGAGACTCATGGATCCAGTTGGATTCCAGAACACTCTGCAGGATTTGTCTGGCTCTACCGTCAGCTCTCTTGATGATTGACCAAGTTGCCTCTTGGCGCCCTCTTCACCCCGTACTACCTTGGTCCCCTGGTATATGAATGAACTAAGGATGGTAAAAAGGGGACTTAGACTCATGATGAAGCAACAAGATCACTTTATAGGGCTTGATTGAAGGCATCTGAAGTGGCAGTGAAGGCAGCAAAGCACTCTTACTTTTCTGCCACCATTGCATCTGGTGCATCATGTTCAGCTCTAGAGTTATTAGGTAATTGATCACCCTTTGGTGGCCCCAAAAGTAGATGAAAATTTGGCTATTAGCTGTGAAACATTGCAATGTTCTTTTCAGATAGTCTCGCCCCTTTGCCAAGTCTTGGCTGCCAGATTTGGAGTCAATAAGAATCTTGGGGCCCGTGCACAATCAGGCCCATTTTTGACTCCTTCAGTCCACTCTTCCAGCTGGATGTTGACAGAGTCCTATCGGCTGTGCAGCCTACTACCTACTCCTTGTATCCCTGCCCTTCCTGGTTGGTGAAAGCCTCCAGAGAAGTGGTAGGAGGAGCCTTGGGAGACATTATAATCTCTCACTCTTCCAGGGCTCTTTCCCTAGCTCTCTCAAGGAGGCAGTAGTGACACCCCTCCTGAAAAAGTCATCATTGGGTAAGAGGGACCTAGCCAATTTTTGCCCAACTTCCATTTCTGGGAAAGGTGAAGTGAGCAGTGGGTTAGGGTTAGGGTCTGTCTGCTGCCTTTGACACAGTAGACCATTTGGTCCTGGTCAACTGCCTAGCCTCCCTAGGTGTGAGGGGTATGACCTTGAGCTGGTTTTCCTCATTCCCCAAGGTCAGTCCCAGAGGGTAATCATGGGTGGAGAGAGATCATCACCATGGACCCTAACCTGTGAAATTCCACAGGGTTTGATTCTCTCCCCAATGTTATTTAACATCTATATGCACCCTCTGGCAGAGATTGTAAGGAGGTTTGGAGTGACGTGCCATCAATATGCAGATGATACCCAGCTCTGCCTCTTATTTAAGTAGCGGCCAGTAGCCAGAATTCCAGTCTTGGCCTCCTGCCTGGATGCAGTGCTGGAATGGCTAGTTGAGAGTTTGTTGAAGCTAAGACAGAGATTATGTGGCTGGGGAAGCCCGGACCACTAGGGATGCCACTTCTACCGACCCTTTATGGGGTCCATCTTTCTACAGTTGATTCAGTCAAGAATTTGGGAGAATGGCTCAATTCTTTGTTCTCCATGGACAAACATGTGTCCTTGGTGACAAAGATTGCATTTTACCATCTACACTGGGCTCACCAACTGACTCCCTATCTGTCTTGGTAGGACCTTGCCATAGTAATTCACCTTGAGACTGGACTACTGTAACACACTTTTTGCAGGGCGGCCTTTGAAGACACTTTGGAAGCTACAGGTTGCTGACAGGAGTGTCCTGGTCAGCACATATAATACCTATCCTATGGCGGCTGCACTGGCTCCCAATTAGTTTCCAGTGCCAATTCAAAGTGCTGGTACTTACCTTTAAAGCCCTAAATGGCCTGGGACCCTCATGCTTTCGGGACCGCCTCTCCCAGCATGATCCTTCCTGCCTTCTCTGATCTTCATCTTGGAATTTATTGAAGGTCTCTGGTCCATGAACTGCCCGCCTTGTTTCAACAAGGGCGAGGGCCTTCTCAGTAGTGGCCCCCGCCCTGTGGAACCAGCTGCCCGATGAGGTGCAATGCCTTGCAGGACCCCCCTTGGTTCCTCAGGGCATGCAATTCTGCTCTTTCTTGGGTGGCCTTTGGGTGATTGTGATCCACCAGGCAGCTGTGTCTTCACCATCCACACATCCTACCCTGCATGATAGTGGATAGGTTTTAATGGGGATAGATTTTTAACCATTTTGTATTTTAAATATTATTTATTGTATCTTTATATTGTTTTATTGGTATATTTAGCTACCCCAAGTCCCCTTTGGGGAGAGGGAGCGAGATATAAATTTGATAAATAAATAAGATGAACACCAAAACACACAAAGACTCTTGTTCTTTTGGAGATGGCACAGCTCGATGACGTTAACAAGCTTCCTCCCTTAGTGTTCAGCCATTTGTCATCATGTGTGCTGTATTATGGGGGTAGGGTCATGTGATTACACATGTGTTTTCTTATAAGCAACAGTAGCTAAGAACCTTCATGTACGGTTTTATATTTTTAATTCATGGCCAGATTTTTGTGGCCTTATTTTTTGTATTGTATCGCTGATTTTTTAAAATTTTGCATTGTTTTGTGGCCAAGCACTTGTAGCATCAGTGGCTAGTTCTTCACACTCCAGCTCGTATTGTGAAATTCCTTTTCTTTCCTTTTAGGTTTTAATCCAACTGCCCTTAGAGGCACCAACACAGGTGTGTGGATTGGTGTGAGTGGATCAGAAGCTGGTGAAGCATTTAGCTTAGACCCTGAACATTTGCTAGGATATAGTATGACTGGCTGTCAACGTGCTATGCTTGCCAACAGAATTTCCTACTTTTTTGACTTCACTGGTAAGTACAGAGGCTATAGCCCAATACTTACAAATACCTGTTTAGTAATGATGAACTGACAATTCCTTTCAGGGCAGGTTTTAGTCTCTCTCATGGGGCTGAGGCTCAATTATATAGCTCCTGCTTTCCATGCAGAAGACCCTAGGTTCAGTCTCTGGCATCTCTAGTTAAGGGATCTCAGATAGTGGGAAAAACCTTACTCTGCCTGAGACCCTGAGAGTTGCTGTTGGTCATGACTAGATGGAGCAATGGTCCAACTCAGTATAAGGATCTGGGAGCCATTGCCTTTGACAAGAGCGTGGGAACTTCCTGTATACAGGCAGGCATGTTTTGGCTGGAGCCAGTTAACAATAATGGTAATGGGAACGTCTTGTGGTTGCATTTCTAGAGGCATACCAGTGTTAGTATGTTGTAGCAAAATTAAACAGGAGTCCAGCAGCATCTTAAAGACTAACACAGTATATTCCAGCATAAGCTTTTGTAAGTCAGAGCTTGCTGAAGGAATGAATTCAGACTCGCCAACGTTTATACTAGAATAAATTCTGTGTGTCTTTACGGTCCCACTGGACCCCGCTTAATTGTGTAGTAGCCTTGTGTTCACATTTCTTAAATGTGACAACAAACATGGGGCATATTCTGCTGGTAACATTAAGAAAGCCAATAAAACAGAGCAATTTATGGGTTTTTTTAACTGATGATTGTTGTTGACCCCAAAGGTCCAAGTATGGCCATTGACACTGCATGTTCCTCTGGCCTCGTTGCTCTGGACAATGCTTACAAAGCCATTTGCAGTGGACAGTGTGAATCAGCCCTTGTGGGGGGAGTCAACCTCTTACTGAAGCCCAACACTTCTGTGCAGTTCATGAAGCTCGGCATGCTCAGTCCTGAAGGTGCTTGCAAGTCTTTTGATGCTTCAGGTAAGCAACTTTTGATGCTTCAGGGAGCGCTAAGAACACTCTATACTTTAGTACTAGTGAAGTGACGCTCACTGAAGCTCACTTTCTCGTCTACCGCTACCTGCCGCACCCAGCTCTCTTCACCACCCCTTTGCATCTGTAGGGATCTATGAACTCTTGAGAAAAGCATGGGGTATGGGAAGTGGAAGGTCTGTAGCAGGAGACACCCTCCCTCTCCTTTTCCGCCTGCAGAAATGTCTTCTGCCTGCAGAAAGCATGGGTTAGGTGTCAACCCTTGATTCATAACTAATCTTTATGAAAGACAGAGAAAAATTGCTGTTCTTTCAAGATTCTTCAAAAGCAGTGAGTTAGTTTGAATTGGATTGCTTGTATGGTTTTACTTCCAAAGCAAATTTTGATCAAACAAGGCTGGAGGTCATGGGTAATTTGGAGGCTCCTTGTCATAATTTCCTGTTTCCCTGTCTATAAGTTTTCAAACTTCGCCTTTGGTAAGGAAGCTGAGAAGACATAAAAATGAGTACATATGATTCTCTGAATTTAAAAGTTAATGTCAATCGCAAAATGGCATGAAATTTTAAACAAAAAAATTGCCAGGCAGGTCTGAGAATAAACATAGGGAAGCTTCATCCCTATTTTTCCTTTTTAAATCAATGGTTTCACAACCCCCTGCAATTAGTTTTCCTGTACCCATTTGAATTTTGGAGTTATATAAAACAGGTTCTCCATACCAGGTTAAAATTTTATTTTAATATAGATTTTATTAGTTGGTTTGTATTGTTGTGGTTTGTATTGTTGTCTGCTTGTCATCCTTGGGGGGAGGTATGGCTAGAAGGCCAACCATCTAAATAAGATGACCTTTTTATGGTTCTGAATTTCCACAGGGAATGGATATTGCCGCGCAGAAGCTGCCGTTGTTGTTTTCTTGACCAAGAAGTCAATGGCCAAACGGATTTATTCTACCATAGTCAATTCGGGATGTAATACTGATGGATTTAAGGAGCAAGGTGAATTTTTCAACTCTGGTGGTTGTGAAATTATGAGGCTTCTCATGGGTAAAGAGAAATATCACATAGAGCAGTGTGGCCAGGTGGGACTTGGTTTGCTTTCACTTAAATTATACCCTACTCTTCTCCAGGGTCAAGCTCCCCAAACAGACTGGCACCCAAAATTGGCATCTGAACTGACTGGGCATAGTTCTGATTGGCTTCAGCCCGCATGGTACATAATATCGCCAGTAAATCTCCTCAGTACTATCCCCCAAATCCCTGGAGCGGTTTTGCACATTAAGATAGTTTCCCTTATGTATTACTAAAGGGTAGACGCATGGATGTTCATGCAGTGTTTTTGAAATTAAAAAAAAAAAAAGAATGGATGGACAGGACAGGCAGCCTGCCTGGAGCACAGAGGGAGGAGCAAGACTGACAGCTGAGCCATTATTTAATTTTCTGGCATCCACATCTATTGTTTGACTGGCCAAACCACTCTCTGTGCAGATGGAAGGATACTTGTCAGCTCTCTTCTTATGTTACATCTGTCTTCACTTCATGCGAGTGCTTCTGTTTAAGCTGCAATCAAGGATTGCTTCAGATGCTCTGACTGAAATCTGAAAAAAATCCTTCTGTATGGAGCACAGAAGAGTGTCTCAGTGCTTGTGATTATTATTTTTTTGAATGCCCGATGCTGTCCAAAGAGCATATGAGACAATATGGACAATGAGACAGAGTCCCACGGCTAGGTTATTTTGTTTCTTTACAGTGCTGAATACTTCATACCCAAGCTGTGGCAGCACAAGAGTAATGATAATACTTCTGTGACACTTTTTGAGTACTCAAAACACTTCACAACTTTATCTCGGTACACCTTTCACAATAACTTTCTGAGACAAGCAGTATTCTTACTGTGCTCAGGATTCCTGGCTCCTAGTTTACAGCACAAAAACATTTTATATCCAAGTGCCTCCTCTAAAAAGGAGCATCATCCAGTACCTGCATGTAGAAGCAAAACCCACTGCAACAACTCTGTATACAAAGAAGACTTGATGGCTCTTTTTCTTTCCTCAGGTGTAACGTACCCATCTGGATGGATGCAGCAGCAGCTGGTCAGTTCTCTGTACCGAGAATCTGGGATTACAGCTGAGGAAGTGGAATATATTGAAGCTCATGGCACAGGCACTAAGGTTTGTTCTCTCCTTCTGTTCTGCATTTTGGGGCTTTCTTTTCCTTCCTTGCGTCTTGGAGGCTCCGATTTTTCTGTCCCCTCAGCGAAGTTTGGAGGCTGGATTTCCTATTTGAATCTTGTCAGAGGCCAGATTGCCCAAGACCAACCTCACACCCCACCCTGTGATTCACTCAAGCAGGTGTGCGAAACTGAGGACTGCAACTTAGTTCACTGCATCAAATTCCTCAGTGTGATTGTGTATGGGGGTGGGGGAAAGGTGGGTTGCACATTCACAGAGTCCTCAGCCATTTTGTGGATGGCAACTGCCCTTTTTCATGCAGCCATGATTCTAGAGGTAGAAGCTGCCCCCCCACCTGCTTCACACTTTTATTTCCCTTTGTGTAGTCATGTACCCAACCTATGCAGCCATGTGAAGGAATTTGACAGCGTGAACCTGCTATAGTTGACTTTGAAAGCTAGCTAGTAACTTATAATGTTTCCTGTCTTCTCTGTCAGGTTGGGGATCCTCAAGAAGTCAACGGCATTGTCGGTGTCTTTTGCCAGTCAGAACGAGAGCCGCTGCTGATTGGATCAACTAAATCTAACATGGGTCATCCAGAACCTGCCTCTGGTCTTGCTGCTTTAGCAAAGGTAAAGAAGGAGCAGATGTCTCTTACATCAACCAGGACCCTGCGAGGGGATGAGAGAAAGACTTGAAAGCAATTATGACTCCAGAGTTATAGCTACATAAAGTAAATCATGGAGTCAGATATGAGTGTCTTGCTCTCTTGAGATGAAAGGAGAGGGAGGGCAGAGACTTAGGGGAGGGAGGCCAACATAACTGAAAGGCCATTTGTCCTGAAGATCGGAAATATTAATCAACCCAGTCTTTCCTTAGCTTTGTAATTCTCCAGGGTAAGATAAGCAGCAGTAGCTCCATACCAGCAAGCAGCATGTTGGAGCCTGTGGGGTAGGGTAGCTGCGGGGCTCGGGCAGATGCAGAGAAAGTTGTTCCTGAAGCTGCAGCCTTTGTGTCTTTCCGAGTTTTGTAATTAAATTGACATTGCCAGTGTATTCTGTATAAACGGTATGCTGGAACAGTGATGATACTCAACCAGTGAAACCTGAAGTTCTACAATACTGCTTCCACTTGTAGTGCAAAATAACTACTGCCCCGTTTTCACAGAAGCAGCTCCACTGGTTTTGTGTCAGCTTAAGAACAGAAGAGGTGCCCTGTTGGATAAGAACAGTGCTCTATGTATTGCAGCATGCTGTTTCACACACTGACCAACCAGTTGTCCTAGAGGGTTGGCAAACAGGCATGGGGACCAGGGCTCCCCTAGTGTTTCCTCCTAGCACTGGTATTTGGAGGTCTACTGCTTCTAGATGTAGAGGTTCACTTTAGTCATCATAGCCAATAGTTGTCAATGGACTTATCCTACATCATGAGTGCATCTAATCCCTTTTTAAACCCACCTTCTCTTTTGTTTTGTGCTGCCTCTATACCATGACTCCCACCAGCATCTCTGATGCAGGACTTGAGAGAAAGGCGGCCTTTGCAAGATGGTGTCCAATACCCCCACACACACACACACATACTGAACATAGTGGAATCTCTTCTTTCTACCAGACAGAAGAAGAGCACAGTAATAGAAGCTGCCCTTGAATGCTATTAGCCACTGTCTGTTTGCCACTCCAGGCAGAAGTACCACAATAACCCAGAGAGAGTGAATGAATGAGCAGCAGCTGCTGCTATTCCTAGCCACCACAGCCACCAATCAATCCACCCCCTCTATGGGCAAGTGAGTGACTGGCAGCAGAAGCAAGGTCCATTACTGCTGCTACTGCTCCTTCACCTGTTCTCTTCCTTTGAGCAGTGGCACCTGCAGCTGAACCTCACAGCCTTTGCTGTGCAGGCTGGAGGCAAGTAAATGACTGCTGGCTGATAGATGGGAAACAGAAACCACAGCTTCTACCCACCCTCCAATTGTATTTAGTTGAGGGAGAGGCGGAGGAAGAGCAGCCTGCCACCAGAGCCAATGTATGGTAAACAGGAACCACGGCTTCTGCCTACCCTCTGATTGTATTTGGTGAAGGGAGAGTCTGGGGAAGAGCGACCTGCTGCCAGAGCCAGTGTTGCAACACTGAGGAGGTGAGGGGACCCAGCCGTCAGGGGCCAGGCCCACTCTACTACCGCTTCCAGTGCAAAGGAGAGGGTAGGCTGTTACACCTTGATGCCCCTGCCATCATTGCCTTTTGTTTGCCTGCTCACACAGGTGAGCAAGCAATCAGCAGTGCAAGACAGCAACAGCTGCAGATTCCCCTCCACCACCACACATACCAAGCAGGAGGAGTTGCTGCTGCTCCTAGCAGTCTTCGCCTCTTAAGTAAGTATAGGAGCAACTTCCACCTTCCTTCTGCCCTCCGTCTGGGTGAGGGAGAAGGGAAGAGGAAGGGGCCTCCGTCCGAGCTTTTGGTATGATGCCAATGAAGAGAGGGGGCAGCCCAATCTCTGTAGTCCAGAGAGAGAGATAAAGGAGGAAGTGGCTACTGAACAAGGACAAGTTAGGGCTTTGCAAAGGGCCTAAGCAGCTGCTGCCTTTGATGCTGCCCTTGCTCTAGCTAAAACATTTGCTCTTTCCAATATGCAATATGTGAGCAGAGCACAATGTTTTAAAAGAGACAAGGACCAGAAACTACAAGAATAGGAAGAACAAGCCAGACGACCCGCGAAACTCGCGGGGGTGGGGGTGGAGCGGGGAGGCAGAGCTCTGCATTTAGCCGGCGGAGGAGTCAGGAGCAGGTAACGTTTCCCCCCCCCCATCCCACCGGTTCCTCCGTATCTTGGAGACGCCGGGCCGCGGCGCTCCCCCCCCATCCCCTGTCCCCCGGCTGGAGAGCGAGGCCTGCGCGGCTTGTAGCCGCCGGGCCTTGGCGCTCCCCCCTCCCCTGCAAAGCGGCTGTGAGGCGGTGGCGAGGGCGCCGGCAGAGCGTTCCCTGCGCATGCGCAGGGGACGCTCTGTCAGTTTCGGGGGGATTTAAGTATCCCCCCGATATTTTTTTTTGAAGTTTTCGGATTTTTGTGCAGACGTGGGGACCTCCCCACGTGCGCACAAACATCTCCCTCCCCCCCAGGTGCCCCTGGTGCGCGGATTTAAGCATCCGCACACAGGGGGCACACTTGAGAATTAGATATATAGATAACCAGGTAGTAAATAGAAGGGAAGAGGATGCAGATTGGATCACTGCATGTCCTTGTTTTACTCCTGAACTATCCTGTGTCATAACAGTTGTTGCAACTGGTGATGCAGCAAACTTTAGCAGAGTCAGAGCCATGGTTTTATAAATGGGGGTAGGATGGGAATTCTTATACCAAATCCCCATTCGAGTTACTTAACCTTAGATACTCTGTAGATAACATCTACCTACTCATTTCTCGTGAAGGAATTTCAGTTTGAGTGATGAAAGATGTTACACAAGAAGAGCAGAATAGTTAGGAAACATATTCCATATCATATGTGAGTAAAACAAATTGTCAAACTTGGCCATTGCTGAGGAATCCTCTTCAGAATCCTGATGACTTCTGCTTCTATTCAAAAGTGAGCTATTTTCTAAAATAAAATATTCTCAGTCTAAACAGTATGTTTTTTTTCCCCTCCCTAAGGTTGTTCTCTCTTTAGAACATGGACTGTGGGCACCAAACATTCACTATAATACCCCAAATCCAGATATTCCTGCCTTACAAGATGGCCGCATTGAAGTAGTTACTAAGCCAACCCCAGTAAAAGGTCACTATGTAGGAATCAATTCTTTTGGCTTTGGTGGCTCAAATGCCCATATCATCTTGAGCCCCAACAAGAAGAAATCTCCCCCTCTGGAGACGTATAATTTGCCACGATTGGTCCAATTTTGTGGAAGGACTGAAGAAGCAGTAGAAAGATTAATAGAGCAGACCATGAAACAGCAGCAGCACACTGCATTTCTGAGCATGCTCAATGATATCTCTGGAATACCTGCGTCATCTATGCCTTATAGGGGCTACACTTTGATTGGCAGTGAGGGTGATGTGAAGGAGATTCAGATGGCTCAGTCCACGGGAAGACCTCTGTGGTATATCTGCTCAGGTAATTATAACTAAATCAGAAACAGAGACTTGGTTTCCTATGTGAGACTTGTCGTCTGTGTTCAGACATCTCTTAGTTGGTGTATCTGCTCAGGTAATTACATCCACATTGGAAATAGAGACTTGGTTTCCTATATGAGTCTTGATATCTGAGTTTAGACATCTCTTCCTTTTGCTAGATGTGATGACATGTTAAATAATCTCATACGTCTTTTGTTTAATGCAGTTTTGAGTATGTGTAAGTTAAATTTCATTATAGTCACTTTGATACAACACACATACACCACCAAGAGTGTGAAGTAATAATTCTCGGTAGCTGCTGGAGGCATTCCACGGCTCCTAGATCTGAATTTTGAATGCTATTCCAAATTCAGTCAAATACTTGTCTCCATCTTCTGCGCATGATAGTAACGCTAATAGGTTTTTTCCCCTGCTTGCTGAATCCGATAGGTATGGGCACACAGTGGAAAGGAATGGGCCTTAGCCTGATGAAGCTTGATCTCTTCCACCAGTCCATCTTGCGTTCAGATGAGGCTCTGAAAGGCACAGGTCTGAAGGTGTCTGACTTACTCCTGTTTGCTGATGAGAACACCTTTAATGACACTGTTAATGCATTTGTTGGGCTTGCTGCTATTCAGGTAAGAATGAAATGCTTTCCCCCTGTTTTGACTCACGTGAAGACATTTGAGGAGCGATGTCTCTTTTGTCTCATAATCATCTAAATCTCATGGCTCACAGTACTCAGATTATATTTAGGACTTTGTGATGATTTCCCTTCCTAAGGGTCACTGGAAGCTGGCTTCAATCTCTGTTTGAAAAGTTTTGTTTTATTGAGTCAGCAACGAGGCTGGAGACAGAAACATTTTTTAATGCATACACATTACTTTTTAAGGCATCCTGTCTTTCTGCCCATGGTTCTGCTGGTTGGCATGGAGAGTAAAGGATGATGTTACTTCAGAACAAGAATAGGAAATGTTTCTGTGAGTGTGTATGATGGGCCTTTGGTGTAGCTTCAGATACTTTCTTTCACTGCAAGCCAAATGCAGAGCTGGGAAGAATAATAATAGAGAACCTTCCCATTTCAACATCAGGCATTCAGTGAGAAGTTGATGGAGAGGAGGTACCGTATGAATAAAAGTAGGTGATATACTATTAGGGGGGAACGAGTTGGAGTGAGATGGGTTTATACTATTAGGAAGCCCTGCTATTAAGTTTAGTATTCCTTCAGGAAACATCTGTTGTGCCAGTAATCACACTGTGAAGGCACCAACCAAAATGGGATAGTGCAAGCTGCTGCTTCACGTAATGTAAACTCAGCAACACATTTTCTGCTCTCCAGATAGCACAGATTGACCTATTAAAGGCTATGGGTTTGCAGCCTGATGGGATTGTTGGCCACTCAGTTGGAGAACTTGCTTGTGGCTATGCAGATAACTCCTTAAGTCATGAAGAGGCCATTCTTGCAGCCTACTGGAGGGGGCGGTGCATCAAAGAGGCCAAACTACCGCCAGGTGGCATGGCTGCTGTTGGTAAGTAGCAGGGAGCCCTTCTCTCCTCTATCCATCCCTGTTTACTACTATATTACTAAATGTTTAATCAAAAGTACTTCCATCCACTTATCCAATGTGGAATGGAGCAAGTATAAAGTGATTAAATTAGTTTAAAACTTTGTGAAAATTGAGATGGGAAAACACAAGGTGGTACCAATAAGGTTTGGGTACTGGGCAAAGTTTGGGAACTGTGACAGGTGATTAATCAACTCTGAAAGAAATAACTTGTTTTCTGCAGTCCAGTTATGTGATGCATGAAAGCAGTCCAAAAAAGTCATTGTGGGTCACTTCTCCTAGTCCTTACAAGGTTACACTGTCTCTCACCCACACCTACTTCCATAGTATGTTTATGCTTTATCCACAGCTGGTCCTTTTGCACATAAGAAAACAAGCAAGTCACTGAGCTGATGGATTGCTTATGTGACACCAAAGTATTGCCTAGTGATTTGTCCATCTTTTTACTACTGAAATTATAGCAAATGTTAACACATAATACAAATGTTATGGCTCTCTAGTTCTAGTCATTATCATATAAGAGTGATTGTGTAAGGTTTCTCAGAAGCTTATTAGAGACATTTGAAGAACACAAACAGTTGAATGCATTTGAGAAGTGGAGAAAGTGGATAGCAGTGCACTTTAATGATGAATTAGTGCTTTTCTAAGGCATTGATTGGTACAAGTGGCAGACCTGGGTCTAGAGCAGTGTTCCCTCTAAGCTGAGTTAGTGTGAGCGAGCTCACATTTTTTTTAGCCTCTGGTTCACACATTTTTGTCAGGAAGGGTGGCTCCAGAGCAAGCTAATGTATGCAGTAGCCAAATTGCCTGCTCACAACTTTAATGCCAGTAGCTCACAAAGTAGAATATTTGCTCATAAGACTCCACAGCTTAGAGGGAGCATTGGTCTAGAGTATCAGGCTTTGAATACTATCTTAGCCATCAGTTTTCTCTCTAAAGTTTGTGCAAATTGGTTCTTCATCCATGAAATAAGGATATGTGACCAGGATATTATGAGTGGTTGAGATGTAAAGAGCTTTTCTCATTACAAATAATAGTAATAATATGTTGGTTCCAACACACATACACCTTCCATGAGTGGAAAGGTACTTCTGCTTGTCCGAGAGCTGTTTCCCACTGCAGCTCCCTATGCCACGTCTCCACATGAATCATGGAGGCCTCTAATCATGGGGGGCCTTCATGGAGAAGGGGAAGCAGCAACAGTCTCTTCCATGAGTAGAGGTCTGTTTGTGATTCATTGGATGGTGGAAACTGAAGCAGCATTTATTCCAGCACTTGTAGGGTCAGTTTGTTTTAACTGAAAAAATATCACAGAGAACAAGGACCATCATTCTTAATAATTAGACTGCAGATGGGCAGTAGTTGAAAGTGATTTGGAAGAGGTATCCCTTGCCATGATGTCCACATACATTTCTTTTTGTCCTCTGGCCGAACAGGCTTTGTGTGTCTTTGAAACAATACCAAAGCCTGTGCCTCTGTTTCCTGCAGGTTTAACATGGGAGGAATGCAAGCGCAGGTGCCCTGCGGGAGTGGTGCCTGCTTGTCATAACTCTGAAGACACTGTCACCATTTCAGGACCTCAGGTGAGAACACAGTGGGAAGCATTCCTTCTACTGCTATGTACTGGTGTGTCCTCATCACCATAATTTAATATGGGTCAAATCTTAGCAGCTCAAGAAATGTTGCCTCAGTAAAGGATGTTGGACTGAGGTTCTAGTCTATGTCACAGAAGGAAACTATATTTATTTATTTATTATTTCAATTTATAATCCGCCTTGCCGGAAAAACTGGCTCAAGGTGGTGTACAGACATTAAAAAGCAATAAAACAGTAAATACAATAAAATTCATAAGAACATCATAAAATGCTAATAAGAACAATACAGTATACAATCCAATGATGGAAAACAATAGTGGGAGGCAATGATGGAAGGCAATATCCTATGATGTATCATAGGGCCGTGGAATGTTCTGGTGACACACTCGTCAGTGGCAGCTCCTAATTGAATGCCTGGTGGAAGAGCTCCGTTTTACAGGCCCTGTGGAACTGTAAAAGGTCCTGCAGGGTCCTGATGTCCTCTGGGAGCTTATTCCACTAGTGAGGAGCCGCCACTGAAAAGGCCCTGGCATGAATAATGGCCAACTTGGCATTTTTCGGGCCAGGGACAGTCAGGCGATTTTGCGACCCTGACCTCAGTGCTCTCTGGGGCACATACGGGGAAAGGCGGTCCCTCAAGTAGACAAGTCCCTGACCATATAGGGCTTTAAAGGTCAAAACCAGCACCTTGAAACGAATCCAGTAAGCTATTGGCAGCCAGTGCAATGCCTTCAACACAGGCTGGATGTGATCTCATATAGAGAGGGCCATCAGCAGCCTGGACACCGCATTTTGCACTAACTGCAGCTTCCGGATTTGAGACAAGGGCAGCCCCATGTAGAGAGTGTTGCAGTAGTCTAATCTCGAGATGACCATAGCATGGATCACTGTTGCCAGGTCATTGCGTTCGAGGAAGGGAACCAACTGCCTAATCAGCTGTAGATGGTAAAAGGCTGCCTTGGCAGTGGCTGCTACCTGGGCCTCCATTGTTAAGGTGGCATCCAGGAGCACTCCCAAACTCCTGACCCTCGGTGCTGGCACCAATGGCGCCCCATTGAAGGTCGGGAGTGGGATCCCTACCCCCGACCCGCTCTGACTCAGGCACAGGACCTCCGTCTTCATTGGATTCAATCGACTCAGTCTAAGCCAGCCCGCCACATCCTGAAGCGCCCGCTCCAGGTCATCTGGGATAGAGTTGGCCTGACCGCCCAACAACAGATATAGCTGGGTGTCATCCACATATTGGTGATACCCTAGCCTGTGCCTCTGGGCAATATGGGCGAGGGGGAGCATATAGATGTTGAATAACATCGGAGATAACACTGCCCCTTGAGGGACCCTTCAAACCAGCGGATGCCTCTGGGATGTTTGTTCCCCTAACACCACCCTCTGTCCCCGACCTTGGAGGAAGGAGACGAGCCATTGCAAGGCAAGCCCCTGGATCCCAGTGTCAGCGAGGCACTGGATCAGTAACTGATAGTCAACCGTGTCAACCGCCGCCAGCAGGTCCAACAACAACAGTACTACCGAACCGCCTCGATCCAGATGCCTCTGGAGGTCGTCTGTGAGGGCGACCAGTGCCATCTCTGTCCCATGGCCTGGCCGGAAGCCAGACTGGAACGGGTCCAGCATGGAAGTGTCATCCATAAAGCTCTGCAACTGAATCGCTGCCGCTCTCTCAAGTAATCTGCCCAAATAGGCCGCTGAGGGTCCATTAGGCTCCGCGGGCGAGCCAAAATATGCTCGCTGCCCAAACAGGGTCGGGGTGAGACATTCACACTGGCCTTCAGGGCATGGTGGTCTAACCATGGCACTGCCAAAGCAGTGATCCGGTCCACTGTAACCCCCGCCGCGAAGATCAAGTCGAGCGTGTGCCCGGCCCGATGAGTGGGGGCCGTTATATATTGGGTGAGTCCTAGCGCCGCCATGGACAACACCAGGTCCGTCGCCGGTACAGAGGCTGCATCGTTGGCATGGACATTGAAGTCACCCAAGACTATCAGCCTAGGGTACTCCAATGCCCAGCCTGACACAGCCTCAACCAGAGTGCCGTTGGAGTGCCACCCATGGTGGTCAGTATTCTCCTGCACAATAAATTTAACTAACTACTCCGATTCAATAAATTAATGGATTATTCCAATCCAGCCAAATTTACCAATTTACAATAGCTAAATCTCTAGCACAAATATCATTATCATAAATAAACCCTACCCACCCTGACCTCCCTTCTTGCTACCCTCTCAGGCAGCAAGATTACTCAACTAACTATGAAGGGTGGGAAAACAAATCATCATTCCACTATTGTAACTAACTATATAGTTATATAGTCTGAATATGGATAGTTTCTGAAAAAATGAAGGCTAAAAGTAGCATGTTAGTCCTGCATGGAGTTGCCGGCCTCCAGGTGGAAGTTGGAGAGCTTCCAGAATTACAACTGGTCTCCAAACTATATAAATTGCTTATTTATTTATTACTTATTTATTTAAAACATTTATTCCCCTTCTTCTGGAGAAAATGACTTCTTTGGAAGCTGGACTGCATGGCATTATACCTTACTGAGTAGCCTCCCCTCCCTAAACTCTACTCTCACAGGCGGCACCCTCAAATCTCCAGGTATTTCAGAACCTGGAGTTGGCAATCCTAGCCCTGCATCTGGTAGATTCCAAGCAATATGTAAAATTCAGTCTCCTCTAGCTGCAGCCCACTTTTCTATGCCTCTTGTCCCTTTGCTTAGATGTGAAATATTGTAAACCAACCATGCTTTCTCAGTGGCTACCAATTAATTACCTTTGTCTCTCACCTTCCAAGCCTTTCTGTCTGCCACAGATTCCCTTAGGTCTCTATGGTTAAATAAGGTAGAGCGAAATCCTTTAATCAAGGCATTGGAAATAAGGGAACCATCTGGTCTGAGAGTGATAGCGAGCCTGCGCAAGTGATATGAATGGGGAGGGCAGGAATTGTTAGGCTTTCCACAACAGCTACAGTTAAATTATACTGTTTATATTTGGAGAAGTGGTGTGGAGTACTGTCTTCTCCTCCAGGAAGAGAAGAGGAGAGAGGATGGGAACTGCTGCTCCTCTTAAACTCTGTGTGTTCTTCAGTTGTTGTTGTGTCCATCTCCTCCATAGGAGCAGTGATTCCTGTGACCTTGTCTGAGAAGAGAGCAGACAGAATAGAGATTGTATGTGTATGTGTGCACATGCACACAGGCATGCACATGCCTGGGATTTAGGGGCTGGAGCACCTTTCCTGTGAGGAAAGGCTGAAGAGTTTCAGACTTCTAAGTTTAGAAAAGAGATGACGAAGGGGGGATATGATAGAGGTTTATAAAATTATGCATTGGTGTAAATGGAATGGACAAAAGATGGACCACTGGTCTGATCCAGCAGGGTTGTTCTTATGGTCCCATCTGAATGCTTCTGTCTCTAGAGGAAGCATCACTGCCTGGTCTTGCTTAAGTCCAAATCCCAGGTGAGCTGGAGTTACTGAACATTGCACTCTTTTCTGCTTGCGGCACTGCTAGGGTGAGGAGCTAGTGTCTGCTGAGGGTCTGCACACCAAAGAGTTCCAGCCCCTTGCCTTCACGCATGTGCTGTTCATGATGAGACTTCATCACCACCGCCTAGTGCAATGTAATTTGTACACACAGAAACAGAATATGATGACAATTTGATTGGACATCCAAGTGATGTCTGGTAATACAAGAAACTTCTGTGTTGAGATTAGGTTTATATAATGGATGTTATGTATGTAGTATCATCCACATGTGATAAGAGTATGAGGAATGATGGTTATGTATGTAGTATCATCCACATGTGATAAGAGTATGAGGAATGATGGTTATCTCATAAGCAGCCAAGTCCAGACTCAATCAGAACAGATCACTGAAATGCACCTTGCTGCTACTACAATCCATGCTCATTTTTTCTCATTTTTGTTAGGAAGCCGTGTCTAAATTTGTATCCAAACTGAAAGCAGAAGGTGTGTTTGCAAAAGAGGTTCTCAGCGCTGGAGTTGCCTTCCACTCGTACTACATGGCATCCATTGCACCGGTGCTTCTTAGTGCCCTGAAGAAGGTAATGCTCCTGATGAAAGGTTCACAGCAGAAACCTCTGTTTTGTATTTCTGAACAAAGTTAGAGGAAGCTGTGCCCAGCATTCCTTAAGTTGGCGGTAGGAAGGATGCGAGATAAACCTCTTTTCCGTAAGCAGTCCTAGTCAAACTGACCTAGCAGTTTTCAAATACTAACATTTGCCAGTTGTTCACATAGAAGTCAGTCCCCTTGAAGCCAATGTAATTGGTATCCAAGTGCATGTGTTTCAAGTTGAAGTCCAACAGTGCTTGCTGTCTGATGCAGGAGTCTTGCAGGTCCCTACATCTCAGATAACCAGCAGCAGAAGATCTTGGGCTGTTAGATTAATGAAGGAAGGAAGCTACTCTGAAGTTTTGTAACTTATGGTTTGCTGAGTCTCTCTCTTCTCTCCCCCCCCCCCTTTCTTTCAAGGTTATTCCAAATCCAAAACCTCGTTCATCCCGCTGGATTAGCACCTCCATCCCTGAATCTCAGTGGCCAAGTGCGCTGGCTCAGAACTCCTCTGCTGAGTACCATGTAAATAACCTTGTGAGCCCCGTCTTGTTCCAAGAAGGCCTGAAGCACATCCCAGACAATGCAGTCGTAGTAGAGATTGCACCACATGCCCTACTACAGGTACGGTTCCTGGTGATTGCTAGAGTGCAAAACATCAGGTTGATACTGCTGCTTCTTCTAGCCCCGGCGTTACCCTTTTCGCTCCCCTGCTTAACACTTTCCTTCATTGGTGCTCCTAAATATCACACTCTGACTTAGGTTTGTCAGGCAGAGCCTGGCAACTAAGGCTTGCAGTAGGAGGCCTGCCGCCAAAGTGGGATGTCTGGCAGCCCCGTATTCCCTGCAGCTTTTCTTTGCGCACTTAGTAATTGAAATGCTTCCATTGCTGTGCATATACCATGTCCCTGACTTGTTATAAGTTGGGGCAGGACTACTGATAGAGAAACGACAATCAGGTGAACCAATAAGCATAATATGTGGGAAGAGAGTGGCAGGGAGGAGAAACTGGAGCAGTGACACCTTAGGTCTTGATCTTATCAGATGTCATTAAATGACACTGAGTCAGTCTGGGAGATTTCCTGTGTTTTGTCAGGAAGTAGTGGGTTGGTGGATCCATACTTACAACGTTGACCCTAATTTCATTGCTAAATATGTGTCTATGGACTAATTTATTTAGAAACCATATGCTTCCTCTCCAGAGACTCGCTGAGTGTCAACAATACAGAATATTCTGAGTTTTTAGCATCCATTCTGTAAAAAAAAAAAATGTTGGGCTATGCGATAAAATCTTTTTTTTTTTTAAATAATAATTTTTTATTAAGTTTTTAACACATATATAAAAACAAACATCCACATACACAGAAACATATAACAAAACATAGAACCCTCCACCCTCTTGCCCCAATCCATTTAATGGTTTTCTTCTACACCACGTTGATAAATTATATATTTTGTAACTAATCTCCATTTTATCATTAAGAAATTAAATCTCTTTAATCCGAATTTATTTTCTAGCCTCTTATTTCAGATTAAATAAATGGTTCTAATCCTGTTGAAACCTTCAGGATACTCAAAATATTTTCTAATTTCATCATTACATTTCATTAAAGTTCCCAACTAATTTGCAATTATAATTTTCTATCACCAACATCTCTACCACCAACATGTGATTAAGAAAAAACTAAATCATCTTCAATGCATATATTTATGTCTAAATTCTCTGTTTATCCGTTCCTGGGTCACTATTTTCCTGATTAAGCCCTCTAAGAATCAGTATAATAAATTAGCCTTGTGGCATTAATTTCTTTAAATTGGCATTAAATTGTAATTCTTTTCTGCACTGATTTTCTACTGTCTCTCTCCTATGCCGTTGATCTTTGTATTCACTGTCTTTTTCTGATTTTTTTGTGTCCCAGTTCAGAGCTTTTTTAAGATGGAAGCCCTCTGTTCTCCTTAGTTCTTTCTTTATTTTTTTTCTCTTTATCTTCCTCCTTCCTTTCTTACTCCGTATATCTGACGAGCAAACTTTTTTAGCTTGTCCCATTTTTCGTCTCGCTTTATCTACTTTGCCCGTCTTTCTTTCAATCCTAATCCGTAAATCTTGCTCGTGTACATCGTTCTCTTCAAGAACAGAGAGGCTGCCTTGATGTTCCCTCTCCTGTTTAATTTGCTGAAGTTCTTTCCTCTTCGCAATATCATTTAATTGCTCATTTGTGCTGTTCTCTTTGATAGAAGAGCACTTTGAATTTTCAAAATAGTTGTCCCACATTTGTTCAAGTGCTTTATTTAGCTCAGTTTGTAGTGACTTAAGAAATTTGTCGGAGCTAAGTTCATGTAATATTGCGTCCCGCACCTCATTGCATATGGAGGTCACCTCCATTGTCTCAAAATGTCCGCTCGTGTTACTCCAGGTGTTTGCAATTAGGTGATCCAAGAAGCAAATAGTACAAATAAATCATTCAAAATATGTCTCCGAAAATCTTCTATAATTTGTGTCCATTTTTAGTATGTCATCTTTTTTAGTAATAAATCCAACAGGGATATGTTCTTACCCCACTTCTCTCTAGTCGCGCTGCCCGAGAATCTTCCTGGCCGCTTTCTCTTTAACGATGGGGGAAGGGATGCCGCCAAAAGGGGTATTCAATAATTGCGTCCACTTCGGTTAGGGTATTTCATTCAGGATGGTGTAGAAACGAACAAAAAGAAAACTCAAATAACCACCAAGAGTGAAGTTTAAAATCGCGGCTGGCTGCTGCTATGGAAAACATGGCGTCCATGTTTTCCGCTGCCCGACGCTCCTGCTTCGGGGCGAGCCGGACTCACCCCCGCCCTTGCCATGGAAACGGGGGGGGGGCGGCCACGCCTCTTGCTCTCGCTCTCCCTCCGAGAGAAGCGAGCAGAGCTCCCCCGAATCATCGGGGGGCTCCGAAGAAGCGCACGGGAGCAGGCGCTCTCGGGAGCTCCGAGAAGCGCATCCTGGCGCAGCGCCGCACCGCCGCGGGCTATGCGATAAAATCTTGTCTATTGTTCCAAATAAATCTCCTGAGGTCTTTTCTTGCAGTGGCTGCATTCAGGCTACAATTTAACTGCAATTGGGCATGTTTTTTTTTGCTGTGCTTGTCATTGGTCCTCTCTTTGTACTTAGAGATGGATTCAAAACTTCTGTTTGATCTGGCTTCTGATGACTATAATGTCTGAATACAGGTGCATTGTGAATTGGAGTTTTTTCCCACTAGCACAAGCTGTGATAACTAAACTGGAATTAAAACAAGGTTTTGAATCCTGACCCTTGTAGAGTGGACAAATTCCAGTGTGCCAGGTTGCGCACAACAGTAAATTGGAGTTGGATCAAACTGTATTGATTCAGATGCTGTAGAAATGAGGAGGAGGAGTACAGCAAATGTAGTAACGGGGTGCATGAGCACAGCAGCTAGCTGGATTCGTGCCCAGTCAAGTTTAATTATGCTTTATCATGATGTGAATTTTGGCAAAGAGATTAATAACAACCTTGCAAGCAGCCATTAGAAATATCTTGAAGCTTAATTCATTGTTCAGTTGGTTAGAGACAAGAATGTGCCTTGCGTCACCTCACATAGACTAGGTAGGCTTGAAGTCAGTTGTGGTCTCAAGAAGTGAAGTGAAATTCAGTACGGTCTGGAAAGTGACAAATGAAAAATTGCCCTACATTAGCTCTTAGGAAGAAGCTAAAGAAATGACTTGATTCCAGTAAGCCATCTCCATGAAGACATTATACTAATTAAGGTCTTGTTTACTGAACCTAGCAAAGGAAGGCATATCCAGAACCAGTCACTAGAAGCTTAAATGTGCAACTTTTTTTTAGAAGGCATATTTAACTGTGGAAGTGGATTGGTGATCTTTTTGTCTCATGCAGTTTTCAAAGCAAGACAAAATAGCATCCTAAGCGATCCATTTGCCAAATATTATTTAATGATTTCGATTCTCTTTAATGTCGGGAATAATGTCTATTTTTTGTGTGCCAGATGTATGGTCAAATCAAGTGTCTTAGTGGTGCTTACTCAAATTTGATGTCTGTTGAGTACAATCTTACTGTATCTTTCTCCAAGCCATTTCCATTGCATAGAGAGCAAATATAGAATAATAAAATCTTAAACTTTGACACTGAGAATGGGTTCTTCAGATCCATCTACCTACCTACATACCTATTCTTCAAATTACATTTACTGCTGTAGGAGTTATCATTAGTCCAGGAGCCAGAGAAATACTCTTTTTGGACACTTTGGAAATTGGAATATTGACACAATGATGCCCAGTGCTAGGGCCACAGTAGCATAAATCATGCACTTCCTGCTACAGCACTTTTTCTTGTAACCTGTACTTATTTGTCTTTGTTAAAGGCAGAAATCCCTAGTGGGAAGGGCAGCATTAGTATCCTAGACACTACCTATTTATCCTAGACATGGTAAACATGCATCTGGGGCCCTGAGAACAGAGTGGAAAAACAGCAGGGGAAGTGTTAAGTATCCCCTCTTCTGTTCATGGCTCCTCTGCTCCAAATACCTCCATCCCAAAATTGTTTCTCATTTTAAAAATGCAGGTTAGGGGCTCCTTCCAGTTTGTTCTTTAAACTCTTGGACACAGTTCAAATGTGACATTAGCAGACATGAGAAGCCTGTGCAGTGTTGCACATGCCTAACTTCTCATACAAGATAGGCTACTGTGCACGCAATGCCACCACATACGCTATGTTATCATACCTGCACAACACTCTCCCAGTCTGTGGTGTACAAGTGTTGCACGTATTGCAGCAGAGGGCCCAGTTTAAAGGAGGTACTTGGTATATGCCAACCTGACATGGAAATGTTCTTCTTGCCCACCAGCTTCATGGGCCTCAGACTAGCTGATTGAAGTGAAGAAGATGCCCATAGGCTTCCTTCTGGAAATTTGGAATCTGCACATCTGTGGCTTGTTCATTTAGGGTCTCTTTGGGGTCTAGCTTTGTATACTGCAATTTGTCCCCTCTCCTTTCTTTCTTCCTTTTCCTTCTTCTAGGCCATCAATAGTACATTAGAGGCATGTTTTAACACCACAGGTTTGCCATTGTCGGGGGAATGCATAATGCATTGGTTTACTCAGTTTATATTTTTGTTTGTGGTCTATAGGTGGAATGCATATCCAGATAATACCATTTATTCTGGAGCTTTTTGCTATTTGTCTCGCTCTGATTCCTTGAGGATTACAGAACCTTTTTTTCTTCTTGTTGGTATTCCTAGGCTTCTTTTATAGGAGTCCTTGGATTCAGGAGCTTGGCAAGTGTTGCACAGGAGCCAAAGAGGCTCTTTATGGGGAAGGAGAATAGTCTCTTGTAATGCTTTCATAGGGTTTCTTTAGAATAATACTAGGTATTGGCAGGGGTGGGGAATTTGTGGCAAAAAAAAGTTGTTTCTCATAATACATTTAACAAGAACCAGCTTTAACTTCAGTTGAGAAGGCTTTCCCCCCCAGATTTCATGTTTGGGGTCCATTACCTAGGTCAGGCATCCCCAACCTTCTTGAGGCTGTGGTCACTTTTGGAATTGTGAGAGAGGGTGATGAATGCCATCATCAGGTTGGCCCTGCTGCCCAGTGGGATATGGTGGGAGACGATTTTAGTGAGTAGAGCCTCTAGGAAAAGATCCCAGGAAAGATCTAGGAAAAGATGCCTTCTTCAAGCAAATGGGTAGGCTCTAAGAGAAGTGATTTTATCATACGGGGGAGGTAACTGGTCAAGGTAATGGCATTATTAGAGTTATATTTACTTGTGGTTTAGTGGAAGAGGAATGAAAAATGTAGGAAGAATCTTATTCTTCTCTTGAAGAATTGCCTTCTTGTGCTGGGATATGTGTCAGTTTTTTGTGAATTTGGCTTTCTTGCATGGCAAATGTAGAGCTCTCATGCCTTTAACAGTGTGTGACATGGAAAAGTCTTCCTAGCATGACCTTTTGCCTGTCATGTTGTTAAAACCTCTGGCATCCTACCAGAAAAACAGTAGGCAGCCCTTGCCGAGAGTCCAGTTTATACAAAGAAATTTGATGACTTGTTCTGATAATTTTTGAATTCCATGTAACTAGGCAATCCTGAGGAGAGCTTTGAAACCAACTTGCGCCATTCTACCATTGATGAAGAGGGACCATAAAAACAACCTCGAGTTCTTCCTAACGAATGCTGGAAAAATCCATTTGACAGGGTAAGGAGGCTAGTGAAATGTAATGAGGAAACAAAAGTCTCCATCTTTAATTTTTGATTGAACAGACTGAATTATACCTTTAATTGATTTTTTTTTCACCTGTATTGCAACTGTGTAGAGATACTGTTGATCAGGAGTAGGAGAATCATAATATTCTTTCCACAATTGAACATATAACAGAAGAGTGGGTTATTTCAATTCACATCTTTAAAAAAGAGTGTTTGCTTCAGATGTTTGATGTGATATCCAGCTGTACAATTTATATTGTATGAGCAAGCACTCTGACTGATGCTGAAGACTTTTGTGGTGCCTCAAAGGGCCCACACTGAAATTTGAATAGAAAGGATAAAGAAGCCAAGATTATATGTTTTTGAGGGTCAGAGGTTAAGACTTCAAAATTTGGGGGGTGTCCACAGTCCCTTGCTGGCTCTTGATTATAGCGTGGCATCCTATGAACTATTCATGGCACTGATTATTTGGTATGATCACAAATGCACTGCTTTTTTCTGTCTTCAGAATAAATGTATTTGCAAACAATCTGTATCCACCTGTTGAATGTCCTGCCCCTGTGGGAACTCCACTCATCTCTCCTTACATTCTGTGGGACCACAGTCAGACATGGGATGTCCCAAAAGCTGAAGACTTCCCAACAAGCACTGGGGGATCTGGAGCAGCAACTGTCTACAACATTGGTGTGTAGTGGACCTTTCATGCCTTCCTTTCCCACAAACATATATCTGAAATGTATATTTTGAGTTTATCTCTGGAGAGAAAACATGAATCTTCATACACTTTATGCTGCTCTAGACAAAGAGCAAAACTAATGGGGAGGGGGGGACAACTGCTTTCGCTGATAGATTTGCTGCACTAAAACTAGGGTTGGCTGGTCCCTTCCTTGTGCCGTTGGGGGGGGATTTGGGGGTGTTCTGGGGGTGGGGGTGGATGTCGCACGATGCACTGATGTCACCTGGAAGTGCGATCACCGCTTTGGCGATGTTGGGGGCGACACTCTCCTTTTTGGGCAAAGCTCTATGGTAAAAATGGCCTCAAACCATAGAGTTTTTCCCAAAAAGCAAAGCATCAGGGGGGGCCCCAATATCACCGACGTGCCGACGTCACTTCTGGGTGACGTCATTGCATTGTGCACGGCATGGGGGGGGATTTCCTCCCACTGGCCAGCCGGCTGGCAGCGGGCAGGAGCCCATGAAAGCGGGAATCCCCCACCCCCACCTGGGGAATGGTATCCCTAACTAAAACCTATATGGGCAGAGGGATAGGTTGAAGCTTAATGCCTGGATTTTGGAAAGTACTGGATATTGCTTTTTAGTCTTATTCAAAATGATGTTCTGAAAAAGTTCTTTTTTGTTTTTTCCTCCTTCTGTAATTGTTGACAGATGTGAATCCTGAATCCCCTGATCATTACTTGGTGGGTCACTGTATTGATGGCAGAGTTCTGTACCCTGCCACAGGATACCTAGTGCTAGCCTGGCGCACTCTAGCTCGAACTTTGGGGACCTGCATAGAACAAATGCCTGTTGTGTTTGAAGATGTTACAATCCACCAGGCGACGATACTTCCTAAGAAAGGTGAGGCTTGCAGAGGTTTCGCTCTTATTTATGCTGTGATTGGTACATGATCTGATTCCTTCAGATCTAGGAAGACCTAATCAACCTAGTTCACTGTATTATTTACGAAAGGAGTACATGAGATGCATACAAGTAGTGTTGGAAATCTATTTTGTGTACCGAGTTGTCCCGGGGTCTCCAACCTTTTTCAGCCTGCGGCAGGTCCGTAGCCAGGATTTCTTTAATTCGGGGGGGGGGCTTTAAATAATTTGGGGGCACTCCCACACATACTCCCAAGCGAGCAGCCCCACTCCTGCCTTTCTCCACGGCTGAGTGGCAGGCTGCCAGGTCAGTGAGCTTGCGCAAGGAGGCTGTCTTTGTTGCCCGCCTACCACCGCCATGATTCCTTCCCCCCCATT